TGTTGACTATGAAATAAGGGACCCAGAAGGCTCAGTGGAAAGGTATATAAGAAAAGGGAAGGACTTCCCTGGTGGTGCAGTGGTTAAGAATACACCTGCCCATGCAGGGGACACGGGTTCGAGCTCTGGTCCAGGAAGATCCCACATGCCATGGAGCAACTAAGCCCTTGGGCCACAACTACTGAAGACCGGGCGCCTGGAGCCCGTGCTCTGCAACAAAGAGAAGCCACCACAATAAGAAGCCCGCGCACCACAATGGAGAGGAGCCCCGCTCGCCACAACCAGAGAAAGCCCACAGCAATGAAGACTCAACGCAGCCAAAAATAAACAAATAAATTTTAAAAAAAAGAAAAGGGAAGAAGAACTGGGTCACAGAAGAAAAATAAAGAATAGGAACTCCCAAATAATAAAATTGCTTCAATGCAGAACCAGGCTGGAACCCTAGATAGTAATAGAAGTAGAGGCTTGGTGAAGGTGGTAATTCATTGCCTGGCCTGGTATATATGTGGTGGTCCAGGTAAGAACTGGTCGCAGAAGGCCAGAGGTTTCAAGGTTGGCACAGGAAGATGGGCAAGAGTTGGAAATTCTAAGTCTACGATAAGATACAATATTATAAATATTTGCTTAAACTCACTTTCCTCCAATAGACCCAGAACAAATTAGGGCTACCTGTCTCATCTCTGTATCCCCAGAGAGAAATATATATCTTCTCCTTATGTTTGACTGACTTGATTTTAATTCTATAGTAGGTAAAATGTGAAAATTTTCAGTCGTCCATACTTTATTGGGAGACTAAAGTGATTATTCACTCAGCATTGCTTTCTATACTAGTCTTTAAGTAATCACTTTGGTAGGATAGTTCTGGCATTTTGGCCTGATATCAGATGACTTTTATTTATTTATTTTTATTTTTTATTTTTCAGATGACTTTTAGCAAGAGCAAGTCATTTGAGGAATTTGGGCCTTGCTTATTCATCTAAATAATAGCGATTATTTATACTTACCTTAGTGGACCCAGAGAGAGACAAGAGCAAATGATAAATGTTAAAGCCTTTTATAAATCTAAATAAAATGTGAAATATTATTAGTGTTTTAAATATTGCAAGCAGAGGTGGCAGAATGCATGTAATAATTGGTCTTTCAGGTTGAAATTTCATAAAGGGTCTCCAGCCTTTTCCATAATAAATAAATAGACATCTGGAGAAAAGGGCCTTTCTCACATGGTTACCTTCTCTGCCTCCCCGCTCTGCTTCCATGCTGCCTGCACTCTTCTCCTCACCAGCCCCATTTCTGCTGCTTCACAGAGTCTGCTCATTGCTTGTATGGCATTTGCACCAGGGAGAGAAGGGCAGGTGGAGGAGCTTGGACAGACACGTTCCTTCCATCCCCTCCTGGCAGTCTAACTATTTCTCATTCTGCTCATTGGGGCTGCGAAGTCAGTGAAGTAGAATTTCTTTTCTACTTGGTTATCAGTCCTACATTTAGCATAAGGTTCCAAATGTGTGGAAGATGAGGCTACTCACGAGACACAGAGGCACAGGACTCTGGGCGTAGACTCACTGTCTCTTAACAGAAAGTTGCCGTCTACCCCTTCCTTGAGCAGCAAGTCTCACAGTCTCGTTTGGACAGAGGGCCGTGGTAATAAGGCAGATCCATGGGGACTCCTCTTGTATCCCAAGCTGATTTGATTGCAGAAAGCCAACCCTCATATTTTCATTGTACATTCTGTGAGGAAGATATCTAAGGATTATTGCCGACCCTTGGCCTCTGTTCACTGGTGCCAAATAGAAACGTGGAGATGTGGAGTTTGGGGTGAAGTAGAAAAGAGTAGCTTTTATTGCTTTGCCAGGCAAAGGGGGCCACAGTGAGCTAATGCCCTCAAGACTGTGTGACCCACACTGGAGGGGGTAAGGAGTCTTCAAGGAGCAGGGCGTGATTAGCTCACGGAAATTCTTCTGATTGGTTGGTGGTGAGGTAATCGGGAGTCAGCATCATCAACGTCTGGTTCCAACCAGTCTGGGGTCTATGTGCTTGTGGGCAGCATCCAGTTAACTTCTTCCACCTGATGGGGATTTCAGTATCTGCAAAACAGCTCAGAGGGCATGGCTCAGAATATTATCTATAGTCCTTGAGGAAGAACTAAAGGTCCTTGACTTTATTTAATGGCTAGAGTATTATTATTTTGTCTTGTTTGACTGTTTTTCTTTCTTTCTGTGTTTTCTCACTTTTCTGATGAAATTTGTTCTTTAACTAAAGTTTTACTACAGACAAAAGGCAGGCAGAGGACATGGGTGGGGGTCTAGTCTGAGAAGGCCTGCTTGGTTACAGGATGAATAAACCTACAAAGAAATGTTAAACTCATTCAGTGTTTATTGTTGCTATTAACAATTCTGATATTATTACTATCTTAAAACTGTATATATTTTTTCCAGGATAAAACAAACACATTTTTACATTAGTGCTGTTAGGAACCAAGACATTTTCTTGTGAAAGAAAGAGATATGTGTAAAATCAAAGAGTTTAAATAGAAAATGGAAGAATACAAATTTTTGTTCCATTTTTTCTTTCAAGAATATGTATTTCCTAATTCCGTCCACTGAAAATGTCTGTAAGCAATGACAACCCAATACCGATGAGTATGCTTAGAGACAAAATTGTGGTGTCTAAGTAGCATTCCCCCATTAAAGGAATAAGGGATCTTTTGAGGAATGGCTGCTTGTGGAAGTTTATGTCTGTGGAAGTTTATGAACAAGTTGAACCTGGAATACCTTCTTGTGTAAGAATTCAAAGAAATTATAAAAGCCTAATGCAGACTTCCCTGGTGGCGCGGTGGTTAGGAATCCGCCCGCCAATGCACTGGGGGACACCAGTTTGAGCCCTGGTCCGGGAAAATCCCACATGCCTCGGAGAAACTATGCTTGAGAGCCACAACTACTGAGCCCACGTGCCACAACAACTGAAGCCCATGTGCCTAGAGCCTGTGCTCTGCAACAAGAGAAGCCACCACAATGAGAAGCCTGTGCACCACAACAAAGAGTAGCCCCTGCTCGCCACTAGAGAAAGCCCGCACGCAGCAATGAAGACTCAACACAGCCAAAAATAAATAAATAAATAAAATAATTTTTTTAAAAAAGCAATGTTTAAAAAAAAAAGAATTAAAAAAAAAAAGCCTAAAGCAGCCATGTAGAAAGAACAAAGGAACCAACAAGGAGGGTCTCACATTGACCTAAGATGAGAAAATTTAAGCATCAAAGTAATAATTGCAGTTGACACACATTGCATATACAAAAATTCATGAGTTTATAACGGTACTTAAAAGAGAAAGAGTGAAAGATAGAAACCTCCCTCAAAAGAAAAAAAATAAAGGAGGAGGTGAGGGGCACTGACTTCTGTAGATTAGAAGATATTTATGAGGTCCAATAACAAAATGCAACACAAGGATCTTGTTTAGATTCCGATTAAAGCAAAACCAACTACAAATAGTTTCCTGCCATTGGGAGAACTCGGAATACAGACTAGATATTATATAATACCAATGAATTATTTTCATTTTTTTAGTTGTGATAATGGCATGGAGATTATGTAAGAAATGTATGTATATTTTAAAACATACGTTGAAATACGAAGATGATGGCATGATATCTAGGACTGTCTTTAAAATGGGGGTAAGAGGAGAACTTAACTTTTAAAATAGCTTAACAATCCCATCAAAACCATTTGTTAAAGCATATCAGGTTCTCTAAAGTGCCATCTTCATATCTGTGAACTCTTCCTGACTTTAAGGACAGAATCTGAGGCAGATGTCAGGACCAATCAAGGGATGTGCTAGGGATGTGCTTAGCAAAAATAATGCGCGTGGGAACTAAAAGCATCTCATCGTGTTATCTGTGCTGTGAAACAGAACTTCCTGTTCTCTTGTGCCTTCCTCTTATTTCCTTGAGATCTTCAGGGCAAATCAGCTCAGTCCTGCCAGCATGAAACCTGCTCAGCTTCTCCTCTTCCCCCTGCTTCTCCAGTCTCCAGGTGAGTGGGTCAGAGGCTCCTCCCCTGTAGCTTGACCTTCCAAGGGGCAGAGGGTCCACATGGGCGCTGCCTGGGAAGGACTTTCCCAGAATTGAGAGCCCCTTGTCAGAGAGATTGAGAGACCAGGCAGAAAAATGTGGGTGAATGACTCAAGGACATGAGAGAAAAAGACCTATTAAATAGTGAAGGAGAGAAAGAAGGAGGAGGAAAAGAGAATGTTGGGGGTACATAGAATCATGACATTGTGAATGTCAGAGTTGGAAGGCTTTACATTTTATCTCCATTATTTTATAAAAGAGAAGAGGCCTGGAGAAATCAACAGGCTTCTCCAAAACTGCACAGGAAGAGGCAGGATCCTCTAGAGACTGTCATCTAGAGATCGTTATACCATACACCACTGAGCCACCAGAACTACAGTGATATCAAAACCCCAGCTGTGACGTGGGAGAGTATTTCATAAATAGGAAGTCATAAGAGTTAAAATTTAGGGATAAGGAAAAAGAGGGGCTGGACAGGGTAAGGCTGGGCCCTGACTTCCCCTGCCATCTCCCTTCTAAGCTTCCAGGGCCAATAGCCCTTAGTAGGACCCCAATCCCCAGGTTGGAGAACATGATCCCAGCAGGAAGGAGAGTAAGCATTGCTCAATTCCATTTCCAGCCAAAGCACCACCGCTAGGTCTCACATTCTTTTGGGCCCCAACCTGGTAGGGCTATGACTGACTTGGAGACTTAGGGAAAAGGGAGGGTATCAGCGCCAGTTTTTATAGTCATTTCCTTCCTTGTGTTCACAGTTTCACAAATCAGCTCAACCCCATTGATTGTGAACGGGGTCCTGGGGGAGTCTGTAACTCTCACCCTGAAGTTTCCTGTGGAAGAGAAGATCACGTCCATCACCTGGCTTCATAATAGAAAATCTATCATCTTCACAGAACGAAATGAAACGCTAAACCAGGTGACTGACCCAAAGCAGAAAGATCGATTGAATGTCACCGAGTCCTACTCCTTGCAGCTCAGCAACCTGATGATGGCAGGCACAGGACCTTACAGAGTCATGATAAGCACACCGACCTCTTCACTGTTTACCAGTTATGATCTGAGGATCTTCAGTGTGTAAGGGCACAGAGGACGAATTCCCTACTGGTCAGGGTGAATAAGGCCATCCTCTATGCTGCAGGGGTTGGGGGCTAGATGGCCCCTGGTAGATTGTCCCTTGGTTTCACTCTTTTGGGGTGTCCAGAACCTCTCTTAGGTAGATCTTTCTCGTCCCTTTTCTTATTCTTTTTTGTCCTCTTCAGTTGTCAGCAAAGTCTGGCTGATGGCCCTGGTTGTGGCTGGTTAAAAAGCATCACACAACTTGCTTCTTCCTCCATTCAGCCCCTTAAGGGCTGGAATTGGAAGAGTCAGAAATCTTTTCTCCAAAGGGTTGTGGATTCCTTGCTATGTTCTCTCCCATTTATTCCCCGTGTCCTCTCCTCCTGGGATGGCCTAGTAAGACCCCTTATTGCTATTTTTATCTTTTAAAACTATTGCTTCAAGCAGAGTGACTGCCAAGGCCTCAAGTTCAAGTGGATTCCTTCATCTGTGAGCACAGCACCTGTAATGTCACCTTGAGATGTTCTGTGGAGGCAGGAGGAGAGAACACCATATATGGGTGGACACCAATGGGACCAAGGGCCATTCTGCCCCAGGAAGGATCAGTCCTCAGTGACTCCCAGAACTCTTGTGATCTGAATTGGACCTATACCTGCACACCTATGAATCCTGTTAGCAAGAGTGTCTCTAGCCTCAACCTTGTTAGGCAGCTTTGTGCAGGTAACTGACCCCTTCTAGCCTTTCTAGGGCTTCTGGGAAATGCTTTGAGAATCTTTAGAAAGAGCTGGAGGGAGTAGATGCCACCTCTCAGCACCTACCAACAACACCCCTTCCACTTATACACACATGCTCTGATCCCTCTCACTCTACTTTCTCTCTTTCAGGTTCTGAGGCAGCTGCAGGCACTTTCTTCCCAGTGACATGGACTCTCCTAGGGAAGGGGCTTCTTCTCCTTATATTCCTGGGGGTACTAGGAACATGGTACATCCAGACACAGGTGCTCAGAAAACCTTTTATGTCACCTCAGGGCAATGAAAACTGCTAGTGCCCCAAGGAGAGCCAGGCTGTTTCCTGGATGAGATCATCACTCCTCCATGGCTCAGTTAAGTCACATTTACTGACCTGTAGTCCTTTCAAGGTGTGGTACTATAGATTGTCAAAGGTCAATGGGATTTTTATCCCATTCATATCTTGTCATGTGTGAACCCATGTGCATGCACATTGCATGAGAATGAGGAAGTTTGAGTAAGAAAGGATAAAATAACTTCATAAAAACCCTATGTCATCTATTCTAAGAAGAATTTTCCCCAATAATTTAAGGTTTCCGAAATCAAGGTGAGTCAAAATATTAGTGTGTATAACTAAAAGAGATAGGGTGCTTTTCTCTTGAAGGGCTTTTATTAAAGTGATCCTGCATTTAAAAATAAATGGTGTCTTAGAATTCTTAAAATACTGTAGCTGTAATCCAAAGGCAGAGTTTCCTATAGAGGAGCATACAGATTTGAGGACTGAAATTTCTGAAGTATAGGGCATTTTAAGCGAACTTTCAAGAATGCTGATGGTTGGAGATGAGAGAAGAGGGGTTAGTCAGGGCCATGCTAGCCCATTGGAGTAAAATCATAATCATCAATAAGCTCCAACTATAGGTAAGTGCTATAATACGTTATGGTGTACACCAGAAACTAATACAACATTGTAAATCAACTATACTTCAATTAGAACAAAAGAAGAAGACGACCCTAAGAGGGACTGAGTAACTTCGCCCAACTCATACAGTTATAAGTGATGAAGTTAGATAGGTTGAGTGACTTAGTGGATTAGTAAGGTAGTCTAAGATGCAGCAGCAAATAGACTCCTAAAGTTTCAGTAACATACACAGTAGATTTTATGTCTTGCTAACATAAAAGTCCTGGATGGAAGTTCACATCAGCAGACCAGCTTGTTTCCACATGGTCTTTCAGGGACCCCTGCTGACATTGCATCTTCAACACACTGCTCCCCATGGCACCCTTGACATCAATACTGCAATCTGGGGAAAGTGAGCACTGAGGCCACACCTGGGAGATTCCTAGGACCAAGCCTGGAAGTGGCACACATTATTTTGGACCAAATTTCATTAAAGACACCATAATTATATAGCCATACTTAAGTGAAAGAGAGTTTGATAAGTCATCTAAATGTATGCCCAAAGAGGAAGTTGATTTTGGTGGCTAAAACATACTAAAATAATGTTTCTCTTAAAAAGCTAAACTTTAGCATTGGATGGTGACCAATTCAACAGAAATTCCAATGGGGTGTGATAAGTAATATGTTGGAGGAACTGTGGTGTTGGAGGAATATGTTGTGCAGAACAAGATTGTACGATGAGGGACCTAATCTACTGTAGGGGATTAGGGAAGGTCTTTCAGAGAACACTTTTAAAAAATGTCCTTAATAATTTTTTATTGTGGTAAAATACTTACAATTTACCATCTTAACCACGTTTAAGTATATAGTTCAGTGGCAATAAGTATATTCATGGTGTTGTGTTCCATCATCATCATCCATTCACAGAACTCTTTATTTTGCAAAACAGAAATTGTACCCCTTAAACAGTAACTCTCCATTCCCCCTCCCACCTGAGTCCCTGGCCACCACCATTCTACTTTCTGTCTCTATACATTTGACTACTCTAGGTGCTTCAGATAAGTGAAATGATATACTATTTGTTCTTTTGTGACTGGCTTATTTCATTTAGCATAGAGTCCTCAAGGTTCATCCAAGTTGGTGAATTTCCTTCTTTTTAAGGCTGAATAATGTTCTATTTTGTGTGTGTGTGTGTGTGTGTGTGTGTGTGTGTACCATATATATCACATTTTGTGTTTTCACTCATCCATCAGTGGACGAGTTGGGTTGGGTTTCTTTCACATTTTAAGGTGTATCTGAGCACATTACTTTGCATTCATTCTATCATATGCTTGATAGAATGGTTAATCACTCTATCATATGCTTGATTGAAACAAATAAAAAACTCACTTCAGTTCTACACTCAAAAAAAAATGCGTTCCCCTCTATTTCATGTCACTCCTATTTCATACCACAATTACTTTTGTGGTACTTTTCTTACTGTTTTCAAGTTAATCTCCTTTTTGTCTTTCTCCGTTCCTAAGTTTTGAATGCCTCAAGACCAAATTTCTCTTTATATCCCCTGGTGCCCAGCTAGCATAGTTCCATACACACAGTAGGTGCTTAGCGAAGTTTGCCATCAGCAACCCTACTTTCTCCTCTCCTGTCCTGGATACCCTCACTGGGCCTGTCTCAGGCATTTCCTTGACACACATATCTCGCTGTTGTACTACTCATCTCCTTCACCAGTCTGTCTTCTGAATTGTCCCATAGTTCCCCTGATGAATTGAGATACTGGAATGTACATTAACAACAGGGGAATAGGAGACTTTCTCCCAAGTAAAATATAGCATCTCCCAAGTATAAAACCTTTTTTTTTTTTTTGCCTGGGCCCTCAGAGACAGTTCAGTTGCCTCATTGACTAACCCAGGGGTAACTCCAGGTTGTACTGAAGCTCTCTCTAGCACTTGAAATTTAGATAGAATTTCCTCGATCCTTTAATTTAATGAGCTGGGGAAACATCTCCAAGATTTCTACAAATCCCCAAGAACTTTCTCCTGGAGAGCAGAAGGAGTTAGGAGCATCCTGAGAAGCTGGCATGTGTATATCATATGTGTAAGGCTGCAGTAGGTGTCAAGATAAAATGGTACAGTTGATGGAGCTGTCTCATGAATAGGATGGGGGCATGGATGGGATCAGGAAGGGTGGCATGATATAAAATACTGCATCTAATTTGTAAGAGCAGAAAATATTTCACAAAGGAGTGGCATTTGAGATATTGATCTTGAAAGATGGAAAGGCTTTTTTCAATAGGAGGAGGAATACAGGTAATGGATAACATTATTGTTATTTATTGAGCATCTCCTATATTCCAGGTGCTTTGTGTGCTAACTCAATAAATATCCCCAACAATAGTAGGAAGTGGGCATGGTTACCCCTATTATTCAGATTAAGAAGGAATTCCATTACATTAATATTATATTTCCCTAGTTTTTTTTTCTCTCTAAATGTTACTACTATCGAGCTAGTCTCCCCAGAGCTGGAGAGTATTCAAAATTCCTTCTCATTTATCCCTACATCCAATGATTAATCATGTTCTTTCCACCTAAATAGTCTTGTATCCATTCCTTGCCATCCATATGCATGACATAACTTAAATGTACACTCTCATCATCTTTTCTGAGTGGTTCAATTATCTCTCTGCTAAGCCATACCTCTAGTTTTACCCCTTCCAAATCACCAGCATGATCTTTCTGAAATTAAAAAATGATATTTATTTTCCTACTGGAATGTATGAGTTAAGATGGTTTACATTGCATATAACAGAAAACTTATCTCAAGTTGATTCAATAAGGAAATTCAATAGGGAATGTTGGCTTATGTAACATGAACTTCAGAGGGAAGGCAGACTTCAGTGTTGACTTACTCTGGTGGTTCCAGTACTGTTTCCCTGCAGTTCTCTTATGTCTGCCTTTCCCACTGTGAATTTTGTTCTTCAGGCTGATTGCAAGGTGACTGCAGCAGTTTTGGTACTCACAGTTACAATATGATGTTCATGGAGAGAGAAAAACACTGCCTCTTCCTTCCTTTCTTAGGAGAGAGAAAACTTTACCCAGAAGCTTTCAGCAAATTCAAATTTCATTAGAACCTATTTCATCATGTGTACAACTCCTGAACCTGTCTCTCTGGTTAAGGGAATCCATCCACGGATTGGTTTAGAGATCCTGAACCAACCACTGGCAAGGTGTATGGAGTTATTAAAATAGCTTAGAGTATTCATGACCTGCTCCCAGAGACAGGGGTCAATCTTCATGCCATTTGGATGGCACACGATGGAGGTGGTGCAAATTTGATATTGAGTAGAAAATCATGAGATCATTAGCATAGGTAGGATGCAAATTCCTTAGCCCATCTGAAAAGGGCTTTTGAGTTTTGGCCTCTGCATGTCTCTCAGGACTATTTCCCTTCTGCTTTTCTTTGCATACATAAGATCCAGCCATATGGAACTACCTGCACTTCCCCAAAGAGAACATGGTCTTTCAAATGACCCCATTTTTATATATTTACATTTACATTTACATCTATGTCTATATTTATGCCATATATTTTCCACTTCCTGGAATACCAGTCTCCTTTGCTTAACTGACAAACATACCTTCAAGATCAAACTTAAATACCTTCTCCCATATGAAGCCTTCCTTGATCTCTTGGACAAGTTTGACCAATAACTCCTCTGTGGCTATAACTGTACCTAGTTCATACTTCAAACATTGCTCACTTTTTTTGCAATTATTTGTTTTCTTTTTCTCCTCAACAAGATTGTGAGCTCCTAGAAGGCAGGGTCTATGTCTTCTCTGTTTCTCTCTCTACTGCCTAGTAGATTTCCTAGAACATACTATTCTCTTGAATGAATGAAGCTTGCCCTCAACATCACTGTTTCCCCTCACTTTGTAGGCTCCCCTTGCCTAGTTTTCCTAGCCCTGGCCAGGCTACCCAGTGCTGCCTTGCTGGTCCTCAGATCTTGTATTATCACAGTTCGGTATAAGACCTATACTGGGTATGGCTCCCAGGAGCAGTTATTTCTCTAGTTGGGTAACTCTCCAGGTAAACTAATCCACTTACAAGTGCTAGTGGTAAAGGCCCCCTCCCAGATTTGTGCTTATTTCTTTCACCATGTCCTTCAGTGATAATGTCTCTGCCTCTCTGCCTGCCCTTTGAGTGTCTCTAATGGGCATTGGTACCAGGCTGGAGGATAAATTTGGATTCATCACTGGATTACTGCGATAGCCTCCTACTATCTTTCTGCTTCTTGTTTTGCCCCTTTTCAGCCTATTCTCAATACACTCATCAAAGTGATCTTTTAAAAGTTTAGTCAGATTCATGTCTTTCTGTTGCTCAAAATTTTGCAAATGGTTTTTCCTTTCACTCACAGTAAACATCAAGGACCCTACTGGGCTGCAGAGTCTGCATGACCTGTTCCCCTACACCTCATCTCTCTGGCCTCACCTCCTACTCTGCCTCATGCTCACTCTGCTTCAGCCACACTGGCCTCCTCATCACTCCTAAACACACCAGGCACGCCTCTGAACCAAAGCCTTTGTACTGGCTCTTCTCATTGCTGGACTGCTCCTTCCTCATTCACACGGATAATTCTCTCACTTCCTCCAAGTCTTTGTTCAAATGTCATCTTCTCACTGAGGCCAACCCTTACTGCTTTTTGCAAAACTGCAGCTTCCTGAATACCACCTCCATGAACTCTTGGTTCTCCTTACTCTGCTTTTTCTTTTTCATTTTTACCATTGCACTTACAGCTTTCACATGTACTATGTAATTTACTAATTTATTTATTAAGTTCATTGTTATTGTCTGAGTGGGGTAAAACGGAAGCTGAACAAAAAGTCAGGGATCTTTATTTTGTTCACTGATATATCCCAAGTCCTAGAATAGTGACTGTTCTATGGGTGTATCATACATGCATGTGGAATGAATGAATGAAAGAATGAATGAGTGGATTATCCAGACACCTTTTTTTTTTTGACACCTTTTTCACAGTGGTCCTCCTGAGAGCAAAGAGGACATGGATTTGCAGAATGCACTGGTAGAATACTTTTTTTTTTTTTTTTTTTGCGGTATGTGGCCCTCTCACTGTTGTGGCCTCTCCCGTTGCGGAGCACAGGCTCCAGACGCGCAGGCTCAGCGGCCATGGCTCACGGGCCCAGACGCTCTGCGGTATGTGGGATCTTCCCGGACTGGGGCACGAACCCGTGTCCCCTGCATCGGCAGGCTGACTCCCAACCACTGTGCCACCAGGGAAGACCCTAGAATACATTTTTGATACTCACTAAAAGGAGTTATATTCACAGAAAAAGCTCAAAACACAAACCACTCATATCTTATTACCCAAACTCACAAGAAACTTGCAAGATGTATCATTTGAGCAGTGCTACTGTGAAACTCCGTGAATTGAGAATGTTCAGCGAAACCATTCACATAGATTCTATACCCACTGTATCCATTTCTTCCTCTCTTTAACACTTTACAATCCAGCTTCTGTTTCTTTAATAACTGTATTTATGCTGTGCTTATACTCAGTCTGATTCTATGATTTTTTTAGTTTCCCAAGGCATCTGCTGAGAACCTCCAGTTTAAGAACTACTTCTCAAAGGTAAGAACTCTATTGTACTACTTTTTTTTTTAATCCCTAACACCTAATACAGATATTGCACAGAGCAGGTATTCAATAAAAGTTCACTGAATGCATGAGCGGAGTCTCACCCTCTTTCAGTACATTTTCTGCATTATACCACATGAATGATTTTACAACAGATTTGATGTGCATGGCTTCAGCATCCTTGAATGACCTCAACTCTAAATACATATACCTCTGAAACCCAAACTCCTATCAAAATATAGAACTTTACTGGACTTCCCTGGTGGTCCAGTGGCTAAGACTCCGTGCTCCCAATGCAGGGGGCCTGGGTTCGATTCCTGGTTAGGGAGCTAGATCCTGCATGCATGCTACAACTAAAGATCCCACGTGCCACAACTAAGACCAGGTGCAGCCAAAGAAATAAATAAATATTTGTTAAAAATATATAGAACTTAACCATCATACCTAAGAGTTTACTTGTGTCCCATCTCAGTTAATTCCTGTCCCCATGCCCACCAGAGACAATCACTATTCTGATCTTTCTTTTTTTTACTATAGATTAGTTTTGATTGCTCAACAGTTTTCTATAAATGGAATCATAAGGTAAGTATGCATTTTTGTAAGGCTTTTTTTCATTCAGTATAATTTTGCCAATATCTTATTTAGGATATCTGCAATTATGTTCATGAGTGAGACATAAATTTCCTTTCTTGAACTGTCTTTCTTCTGGTTTTAGTATAAAGATTATTTCTTCTCTCCCCATGTTGGTTTCTCCCTTTTGCCCAACAGCTAATACAATGATTTATACATAGTGAATGAAAAAATATCTAAATAAATGGAGCTATAATAATTTCATAGTTGTTCTGCTCTAGCAAACTCATAGTCCGTGTCAAACTCTAAGGCTGTTCATAAAAAGGAACAAAATTGGGTCATTTGTAGAGATATGGATGGACCTAGAGACTGTCATACAGATTGAAGTAAGTAAGAAAGAGAAAAACAAATATTGTATATTAACGCATATATGTGGAATCTAGAAAGTGGTACAGACGAACAAGTTTGCAAGGCAGAAATAGAGACACAGACGTAGCGAAAAAACATATGGACACCAAGCGGGGTGAAAAGGGGGTGGGCTGACTTGGGAGATTGGAATTGACATATATACCCTAATATGTATAAAATAGATAACTAATAAGAACCTGCTGTATAGCACAGGGAACTCTACTTCACTTTGCTGTACAGTAGAAACTAACACAACATTGTAAAACAACTATACCCCAATTTAAAAAAAAACAAAAATTCTAAGGCTGCTCAGTTAAGAATGGCAATACCATTAAATTGAACACTGGAAAGTTAGTCTTGACCAGATCCCAATGGCAAACTTGTTAATAACAATCAAATTATAATTTTAATAATAATAAACAAAACATTTTTACTATATATTGCAGCTTACACTACTAGTTGTCACACAATATTCATCCATGGTTAACACCTTTAAAGCAGTGGCCACTCTGAGGTGCATTTTAACATTTTAACCAGGACAAAACAGATATTTATTCAGATTAAAAATATCTCCCTCACAAGGAAGAGAAAAAATTTTTTGTAACTATGTGTGTTGACAGATGTTAACTAGACATTGTGGTGATCATTTCTCAATATATACAAATGTTGAATCATTGCACTGCACATCTGAAAACTAATATAATGTCATATGTCAATTATAATTTTAAAAAAAGAGAGAAAGAAAAGCTCCCATACAGTCCATCACTGCTTGGTAACTTCTGAGACTGTAACTTATCGCACATGGAAAATGTCAGGCAGAAGTCACCAGTGGGTCCTGAAATTTTAGTCCAGTCAATAATCTTGTTCTATAAACCTCATGCAAACATCTATTTGGTGTCCCAGTCCTTCCTGACATCTGTCTTAGTCAAGTCACGCTTCTGTAACGGAATACCATAAACTGGATGGCTTATAAACACCAGGAATTTATTTCTTCCAGTTCTGGAGGCTGGATGTCTGAGATCAGTGTGCCAGCGTGGTCAGGTTTTGGTGAGAGCCCTCTTCTGGGTTGTAGACTGCCAGGTTCTTGGTGTATCCTCACATGGTGGAGAGCAGAGCACAGGAAGCAAGCTTTTGTGACTCTTATAAGGGCACTAATCTCATGCATGAGGGCTCTATCCTTATGACATCATCTAATCCTAATTATTTCCTAAAGGTCCTGTCTCCTAATACAACACACTGGGGGTTAGGGTTTCAACGTATGAATTTTGGAGGGACACAAGCATTCAGTCCATAACAGCACTCATTCCCTCCCTGTATACCCAAAGCAAAGGGGGTGGTGAATATATAACAGACAAGCCCACAGATATTTCTTGAGTTCTATTATTATCAGCTATAAGAAACACTTCCTTCCCTGGCAATTCATGTGAGCATAGATATAAAAAGCTACATAGAATGAATATCAATGGAATAATATTAGCAAGAGCCCTGCAAAAGATTAAAGAGGGGAGACCCTGACAGGACGGCATCATCAAAGACAGAAAATTTCACGGTGGAGGAGAACTTGGAGCTGAGCCTTCAGAAAGTGTTTAAGCTTTTGTGGTACACAGAAGATTCCAAGGAACACACAGATTACAAAGTGCTTTCATACACAGACCTGTGAGGTAGGTTTCATTACTATGAAGACCGGTGGCTTCTATCCTGGCTACCTAACTCATGGACTGAAAAAATGGAATGACCTAGAACTAGAATAACCTAGAAGAAGATAAGTGGACTGCCAAATGAACTGAGTGTGAAAATATCTTCTTGATCTGGGTGTCACTTACCTGGGTGTTTTTTGTTTTTTTTTTTAACATCTTTATTGGGGTATAATTGCTTTACAATGGTGTGTTAGTTTCTGCTTTATAACAAAGTGAATCAGTTAAGGGTGTTTTTACTTTGTGAAAATTCATTCATCTATAGACCCACAACTTGGACATATTTCTATATATGTTTTTTATTATTATTATTTCTTGCGGTACGCGGGGCTCTCACTGTTGTGGCCTCTCCCGTTGCTGAGCACAGGCTCCGACGCGCAGGCTCAGCGGCCACGGCTCACGGGCCCAGCCGCTCCGCGGCATGTGGAATCTTCCTGGACCGGGGCACGAACCCGTGTCCCCTGCATCGGCAGGCGGACTCTCAACCACTGTGCCACCAGAGAAGCCCTATATATGTTATATTTTAATCTATAATTTTACTTCAAAATACTTCTTCATTTAATTTACATATTAGAAAATCATCGTTACATCTCTAGAAGACTTAAGAGGGTTGGTCATTCACAAATTGGAATAAATTGGTTTATCATTAGTGTTACCGGAGCCCAGTATAAGCTAGCTGTGTAACTTTGGGCAAGTTAGTTAGCTTCTTAATGCCTCAGTTTCCTCGTCTGTAAAATGAAGACAGTAATAGTATATCCACTTTAAGGAGTGGATCTGAAGATTAAATTAGTTAATGTATCAATATATAAAGTGTGTAGAGCAATGCCCAGCACATATAAGTATTTTAAAGAAAGAAAAATAAAAAGCAGGTGTTCTTGGCTTATTTCACGCTTGTAGTCACAAAAATCTAAATCAGAGTTTACAACTAGGTTCCATGGAAACTTCACATGTGGCTTCAGCAAGAAATTGTGATCGAAAACTTATCATTTTTGTATGTCATTTGCTGCTCAGTACTAGTGTTTACAGTGAGGGATGGTGACCCAACAGCCCTACTAGCAATTTCATTAAGAGGTCTTTTGGTCCCACTGGTTGGCGCACAGTAGGACCAGGTTCATTAAATTGACTTATTCTCGGTTTTCAATGTGGTAATTGGTGAGTGCTGACCACATGGAAGGGAGGACTGTAGGCTTGATGATGTCAGCCTCTCCTTTCCAAATTGCCTCCCCCTCAACCTCCTCTTATAAGCCACCAAGCCACCAGCTGCCTTAAAAGTGGTGAGCAAACTCTACTAGCGTAATAGAGAATCACAGGGAAACTTTCATTCTAAAGAAGGAATTTTGGTATGCCACAACTCAGCTGTTACCTGCAGCTTTGCTATTGGTGTAAACATTGCAAAATATGGATTATCTGTTGGAAGTCAATTGTATTGTAAAGTTTTCATATTTCTTGCAATTTTCTCATTTAGTTATATTTTTATACCCTTCCATTTTATATTATATTAACAGTTATGTTTTACCAACACGACCAATGATCACATGACAATTTTTGAAGATGAGTCATAAGATAAAAGAGTAAGGGTTTAGACCTAGGCCTGTGGAAAGTTCTGCTGAGGTCAGTGACAAAAATTATAGTCATTTGAATAATTTCACTGCACTGGTGCAATAAAGGACATAAAAGAAGTCCATCTTTACAGTAAAGGCTGATTATCAGTGGGTTTTACATAGGCTGGTAATCCAAGTTGGCCTAGACCGTTTTGGTAGGCTCATAATGACTCTTAAAAATAGGTCCACTTCTATTCCCCAGAACTTGTGAATGTCACTTCGGAAAAAGGGTCTTTGCAAACATAACTGATGATTTTAAGATGAGGAGATTATCTCGTATTATATGGTGGTCCCTAAATGCAATCACATGTTCTTGTAAGAGGGAGACAAGAAGGAGAGTTGATACAGAGAAGGTGATAAGAAGGCCGAGCAGAGTTAACATACACAGTTTCCAGGGATATCTTTGGGGGCTATTATTCGGTCTACTGCATGTAGTATGAGAAACTGAGAAGGTTCCACTCTCAAACAGTACAACAAATCAACATAGTAATGACAAGTCACATGATACTGAAGAGGTTTTGTGTAAAAAACTGAAGAATGAGAATATCTTTATCCAGGTTGATGAGTTAACAGGTTTCAGAAATAAATATGCTGTAGCACTTGTAAGATTTTTTTAATGATATATTTAAGAAAACATTTTCTGCTGCAAAGGGTAGAACAAAACAGGAAAAGGCCAGGAAATATTGTGTCTTTGTGTCTAGAAAAGATAGTTATCTTGAAGGCACTCTATTGGCCAGTATAACTCGTGGTGTCCCATCGATGGCTGGTTCCATATGAGGTTTCATCCTTTGTTGTTTAAAAAAAAAAATGCTGATGTTATCACAGCAGACTGCCTTCTTCAAAGAGAGGTGCTATTGAAAAACTCTTGGAGATGATACAAAAACTTATGGTGATGTTACAAAAATGCTTAATTTTATTAAACAGAGACCTGTTCACTCAAAAATGTTTAAAAGCTTGAGTAAACACCCAGACAAAGAACATATCTCCTGCTACACACAGATAATCTGTTAGCTGGCAAAGGAAGACTTCTCAACAGGGGGCTTGAGCTGAAAGGTGAATTGCAGGACGCTTTCAAGAAAATAGGAGGCCAGATTTTGCTGGGTGCTTTGAAGATGAAGAATGGCTACAGAAACTAACCTTCTTAGCAGACATTTTTGATCCCACGAGCAAGGTGAATTAAGTCTCTTTAAGGTCCTGAAGAAAATATATGGACTTCGGTGACAAGATTCTTGTATTTAAAAGGAAATTGAGTCTTTGGAAAAATCACATTGTAAAAGGAAATTTCACACTGTTTTCACTGCTGCTTGGGATTAGAAGAAACCAACGAGTTTCAAGTCTTACTAAAAATGACCTGGAAGTACTAGAGAAAAAACTGAACAGTTTTTTTTCTTTTTTCCAATCCAAATGGATGACTGGGTGAGGAACTATTTTTTTTTCCCTCTGAATCTTCTGTGCTTGGCTCTGAGAGAAGAGAAAGTACTTTGTGATCCACAATCTGATCACACACAAAAGATGAGATGTACTGTCTGACCCCTAGACAAGTTTTGGATTTTGGCAAAATAAGAGTATCTCGCCATTCATAGAAAAACAATAAACATTTTGCTGCAGTATTCAACTACTTACATGGGTAAGAATGTTTTTTTCTGGTATGCCAAGCATCAAGAGGAGGGACAAAAATGATATTATTTTATTTATTTTTAATTAATTTTTATTGGAGTATAGTTGCTTTACAATGTTGTGTTATTTTCTGCTGTACAGCAAAGTGAATCAGTTATACATATATCCACTCTTTTTTAGATTTCCTTCCCATTTAGGTCACCACAAATCAAAAAATGATCTCATTTCATTTAAAAATGAAATCCATTCATGCTTATCTCAAGTTCAACTGAGAATTAAATATTTGTTTAGCAAAAAAAAAAAATCTAGCACAGATTAGACATTAAAGAAATAAATTTTATGCCTGAAACTAACACAAAACACAACGTTGTAAATCAACTACAATTTAAAAAATTTTTTTTAAAAAGGAAATTTTTTTCTGCATTTGTGGTTTCAAAAATAACACGTTCATACAAAAAAACAAACAAATCATGTGTATAATAATTTTGTTACTGCTACATTTGTGTTTGAGCCAGATCATGGCACTCAGTAAGAAAGTATTTTTAAATTCTTGTGTAAATTTGTATCTTAAACTAGAATTTTATTCAGATTGTTTGGCTTATGATTTTAATAGCTTAACTATTTAATAAGTGTTAATAAAATGTCATGTTGTGGATGATGTTAATTAAAATAATGTATAGCTTTTATTTAAACTAAATCAACCAAGCCTACCTTTAGAAAAATTGTCTCATTTTGGCTTAAGTCAGTTATTCAACAAAATTCATTGCCTGCCTTATGAATTTTTAAAAATTATGAAAAGAAAAGAAAGATTGATTTAAAAAAAGATAAGCTAAGCTTAACTCCCTATTTTTTTCAAGAAAGTTTGGCTAAAAAGTAATTTTTAGTTTTAAATAGATGGAAAACTACTCTTCTCCGGGAACTATTCCACAGAGTACACCTCATTAGCATCTCACACAGTAGGAATTTATTATAAGACTTTTAGGCCAAGTTGGGTTAGGTAAAAAAAAAAAAGTCAAGGGCATTTAAACAAAGGAAAAACTTTGGAAATTTAGGGAGGTTTTCTCTATCTACACTAATGACTTTCAGTAGAGTTGTGATCCTTTGTGGGGAGGGAGAACCACACAAAAAATACAGTAGTAATTGGACCAAAATAAGTAGATCTGCAGGAAAACATCATTCTCTTCTAAACAGAGCATTGACCATTATTATCTACACCTTCCTGATGGCGTAAGCCAGAGATTTAATAATTTCTCAGCAGGGCTTCCTTGAGACCTGAAAATTATTTCCGGGATTTCTCCAGGGTAAGAAGACTGAGAAAGGCTGGTCTCAACAGTCAGTTGGCCTCCTCCCCCTGATCTCATGTATTAGTCAGGATCTAGTTAGGGGTCAGACACCACACTAGTAATTTGAGCAGAGAAAATTTATCATAAAGAATTATTAAGTAGTAAAAGGCAGTTAACTAAAAGGGGGAAAAGAGGACACCAAAGAACACAAGAATAGAAAATACAGGAAGCAGCTACCACCTCCAGGGTTAAGGGAAGGAATGTCCAAGGAGGAAACAAAGACTTTGGAAGAGAGTACCCACCATACAAGGTTGAGGTTCAGATCCTGTTGGAGAGAGCACGGCCACAGCTTACCTGTAGGGCAGCAGAGAAATTCGCTGGGCAAACCCACTGGAGGGTGCATTCTGTCCGGCCTCTCTCATGTCACTTGCAGCCACACTGGAGGAGGAAAAGAAAGCACCCCAGAAGCAGGTAGAGAAGCCCCATTCTCTGGCAGTGTCCCTCCAAGTGCCCTCTGTTATTAACGGAGACAGCTGGCAATGGAGAAATGTTCACAGGGTCCTGCTCCAGTGTCCCAAAGCAGGTCAAAAAAGGATGGATCTGAATCAGAGGCAATAAATTGATAACTGGCACATCTCACTGTATCTTCACGTATGTTGCTAAACAAGGCATTGTCTCCAAAGTGTACTACTTAGTACATTCTATTTCTGTTAACAGAGCATGGAGAATATTTCCAAGCATATATCATCACATAATTATATCTTCATAAACTTTCTAGCTGAATAAATTGAATGTAGTTATTCCTTAACCGAATACATTTCCCATCCTCCTAATATATTTCTATTCTGATCAGTGAAAACCATCAGATATTAAGTAGTTTGTTCTTTTCACAGATAGCTTAAGTTGAAGGCTTTATGGAAGTGTTATTTTCAAGCTTTTAAAGCCATATGATTTTGCACATGATACAGCTACAACAGCTTAAAATTTTCACTTTCATCTTTACTCTCAAGTAATAAGAGAATACTTTTAATACCTGATGACTTGAGATTTGTGTGTGTGTGAAATAAAAGAGCTAGGGAGCATTGACTTCCAAAAGAATCATGTCTAGTCTACACTGAACATCAGTGCTTTACAATGCGCCACTGTTCAGTAGTTTCACCAAGGGGTTTCTTGTGAAGCCCTACCTGAACTTACTAATTTGTAACTCACGTGGCTCTCGCATTTTTATATTATATTTGCTTTTTATATCTGATTTACTAGAATATTTCTCTCATGCTCTTTTTGATATCCATTATATTTTGCCTAATTTATGTGTAGGTGTGTTATACCATTAGTTTCCGATATCACATGTGTAAAATAAACACATACACAGAAAGTATCTTCCCTTAGGCTTGCAAAATTCTTTATACAGAAGACTAATACAGGAAATCTTTATGGTCTATAAAAAAAAGAGTAAAATTTACATGTAAAAATCATACGTCTAAAATTTAAGTTGTTTTGATACAAAAGTAAGCATTTATAGAAAGGTGCCTGCTTTAATAGTGTCTGTTTCAGAATCAGCAGTTTTTCTGATTTTTTAAATTCACTAAAATCATTTGTCATTGAATTTTGTCTGGAGCCTTGGTAGTAACAACAATCAGAAGACTACAAAAAATCCTTGTTTTTGGTAAAGGTGTGGAAAGTGACTATGGCCACCAAGTAGCAACTAATGAAGATTTCATGTCTTGCGAGAAAATTTTTGGAGAATGTAGTTTTCTGACAGGGCCAACGTGGCAAGTTAAAATCATACTAGTGGCATTAAAAACAGAATAGCTTTAAGGGTAATATCTTAGGTTCATGATCACTTGGGGAGGGGAGGGGTTTGGAGGGATCAAGTATACCCATTCGATAAAACACACTGGCTAAATCTCAAAGAAAACAGCTCAAGATGGGGCTCAAAGATAAAAAAGAAGAGGTTTTCCCACTGAACCAGTTTAATTTCCTGCCTACTACACCATCTGCATCTCTGGCTCTCATCCTTATTCACTGGGTCTGCTGAGGGGGTCCTAGTAGTGCTTACCACCATTCTAGAAAATAGAACAGATGAGGTCATAGCACCATCTGTAGGTCCCAACCAGGAAGACAGTTTTAGAATCTTCAATCTCATTCTCCCAGGCATTTTAGGGGTCAACGTGGTAAATAATTCGAAATCCAGAGAAGAATAACTAACATCTATTGCGTGCTTATTCTGTGGCAACCACTATGCTAAGCTCTTTAAACACAGCATTTCTTTTAGTCGCCATAGTAACCCAATGACGTTTTAATGCTGAAGAACCGGAAGTTTAGTTAGGAGAAGTCACTTGACCAAGATCACACACATGATGGCAAAGTGGTGAATCCAGGGTTAGAAGCCAGACAGTAGAACTCCAGAGCCTAGGCTTTCAACCATCACCCTGGATATCTTAATACGTCATCTACAAAGAAATGGTATTACCTGACTATCAGTTCTGCTGAGGCCTGCTAAATGCTTGCAGGGCAGAGATTTTAGGTGATGATTACTGAATATATTAGAGACACTTTCTTCTTGAGAAATTTCATTTGCTAATTTATGGACTTTTCTCTTTAAGAATTTGCTAACCCCACACTTCCCCCAACCCCACATCCTCCAACTAGGAAAGTTTACTGCCTCTACCTTTCTGACTTTTTAAGGTAGGCTCTGTTAACGCCCTATGTAATGGGCTGAGGGTCAGAGCTTGGAATTGCCCTGCTACCATGTGGAGAGAGGTTGAACGCTTTAGTAAGAGAGGAGCAAGATCTGCTTTGGGGAAAAGGAAAACGTTCTCCTCGTTTTTCACTCATCCTTATCATAATTAAGGATTGTTGCTGTTCCTCATTAGGCTTGGGATGGGTGTAGGTAGAATACAAACCTATCTTTTTCCCCTGGACACCAATTAGGTTTCTTTGTCAAAATCTCATCAATTTGTTCTATACTATAATACAGATCCAGGGCTTCCCTGGTGGCGCAGTGGTTGAGGGTCCGCCTGCCAGTGCAGGTGACACGGGTTCGAGCTCTGGTCTGGGAAGATCCCACATGCTGCGGAGCGGCTGAGCCCATGCACCACAGTGGCTGAGCCTGCGCTCTGGAGTCTGTGAGCCACAACTGCTGAGCCCACATGCCACAACTGCTGAGGCCCGCACACCTGGAGCCCGTGCTCTGCAACAAGAGAGGCCACCACAGTGAGAAGGGGGCCTGCGCGTGGCAGCGGGGACACAACATAGCCAAAAATAAATAAAATAAAACAAGTAAATAAATAAAGGAGAAGAAGAAAAAAAGAAAATGCATCGTTTTAAAATAAATTAAAAAAAAATACAGATCCAGCGTAACCAAAAAAAAATACAAACCCAAAACTTCAAACTGCTAACTCTCACTCTGCATCCATTTCTCTCCAAAAGAATAAATATGATGTAAAACTGTATTAAAAGATATAACATTA